CTCCCCCCAAAACCACCCCTCCTCCCAACCCGCCGCCAATGCTCCCCCCAAAAACTACCCCTCCGAACCCGACCCCAATGCTCCGCCCGCCCAACCACACCCCACACTCCTGTTCCTGGAGCCTTCATCCCATCCACCCCCAGCCCCAAGGCGAAGCGGCCTCATCACTTCACTCACCGCGGACACTGCTCGCTCCGGGCGCGGGCCCGACACCCCGACACTAGAGACTGAGACCTACGCGAGCGACCAGGCGCACTCCCGCTGTACGTGCACGACCCTGCCAGCGGGGGCGCGCACGCGATGCCGGCTGCGCCCGGTTCTGGTGAGTCTAGCGACCCATCGCTCCCGCCCCCTGGGCACGTCACAGTGGGCGGGTCTCGCCCTGTGGCTGAGAGCCCGACGCTCCCGTCGCACGCGGCCCGTTCCCTGAGCCTCGTGCGGGGCCGCGCGCCGGCCTCGCTCAGTAACTGCAGCCCTGGGGGGCGGTGCTCTGCCCTGGGCACCGTCAGCCCCGCACGCTGCCTTGGCCAGGGCTGCCTACGCGCCCCGGGTGGAAGGGGACGACGGCCCCGCTATAGCCACTGCTGCAGCCAGGGGGATCCTGCTGTCCGTGCTGGACCTGGGGTCCGCTCCTGCGGCAGCCCTGCCTGCCTGGCCCCACCTGCAACCCCAGGGGTTGGATTGTTTTAGTTTTGACTTTGGGCCTTTTTGAGTCGCTTTCTCTTGTTCTCGGGCTTTTATTTAAATCCTCCCTGCTAAAGGTTGGTCTCACAGTGCTGTCAGGGTACTTGTCTTCAGAACAGGGCAAAAGGAAGCTCTGGAGTGAATTATAGGCCAGCCTAACTTCAATACCCCCCAAAATACAGGGTAAAATACAAATTATTAATCAGTTTATTAAAACCTGGAGGATAATAAGGTCATAAAAGTAATAGCCAACATAGGGACAATTTATGCCAAACCCATCTAATTTCCTTCTCTGACAGGTAGGGTTGCCAACCCTTCCAGATTGGCCAGGAGTCTCCCAAAATCGGGTTTGATCTCCCGGAGGCTACTGAAGCCAAACCAGGAGATTTTAGGTCACTAAAAGTCCAGTGGCAAAGCAGGGCTAAGGCAGATTCCTCCCTACCTGCCCTAGCTCTGCACGGCTCCCAGAAGTGACCGGCACATCTGGCTCCTAGGCTCAGGGGGTCTCTGCACCCTGCCCTGAGCACCAACTCCACAGCTCCCATTGGCCGGGAACCGCAGCCAATGGGGGAGCTGCGGGGGCAGTGCCTGCAGGCAGGGACAGTACACAGAGTCACCTGGCTACCTAGGAGCTGGGTATGCCGACCACTTCCCAGGAGCCACCTGAGGTAAATGCTGCCTGGCTGGAGCCCACGCCCTAACCACCTGCCCCAGCCTTGAGTGCCCTCCTGTACCCAAACTCCTTCCCAGAACCCACACCCTACACTCCCATCCCTGAGCCCCCTCCCACACCCAAATTCCCTCTCAGAGCCTGCAACCCAACCCCTGCTCCAGGCTCAACCCAGAGCCCCCTCCCACACTCCAAACCTCTCAGGCCCAGCCCAGAGCCCACACCCCAACCCCCTGCCACCAAGCTAGAAGGGGTTATAAGCACTTTAGAGAACAAAATTAGAATTCATAATTATGTTGATACATTGGGAGGATTGGTTTGAATTCAACAAGATGAAATTCAATAGACAAGTGCAGAGTACTACACTTAAAAAGAAAAAACAAATACAAAATAGAGAATAAAGGATAATGTCAACGAGGATTGAGGAGTTCCAGTGGATCACTACTGTGAGTTAATGTAATGCATTGTAAAAAGGAAAATTCTCTGTGTTAACAGGAGTAGAATATGTAAGAGTGAGACAAATTACACTCTCTACACAGTGGTGGTGAGGCACCACACTTTTTTTTTCTTAAAAAAAAATGGACAAACGAGAGAATCCAGACTAGAGCAAAAACAGTGATAAAAGGTTCAGCAAACCTAATCTCTGAGGAAAGGTTAAACAACTGGGCAGTCTTCAACTCTGTCAAAGGTTGTTATAAAGAGAACTGTGATCAGTTGTTCTCCACATCCATTGAGGGGAGGAGGGAGGATAAAATGTAATCAGCTTAATCTGTAGCAAGGGAGATTCAGGTTAGGTGTTAGGAAAAGCTTTCTAACTCTACAAGGATAGTTAAGCATGGGAACAAGTACCTAGGGAGGTTGTGAATTCTCAGGCATCAGAGGTTTTCAAGAATAAGGTTTTGCCTACACTGACACTTTTGGCGTTAAAACTTGTGTTGCTCGGGGTGTGTGTGTTTTTTCACACCCCTGAGAAACAAAAGTTTTAACAACGAAAAGTATTGGTGTGGACACCGCTTCATCAGATCTGGGAACTTTACTACACAACACGTAGTGTGACACCATCAACCGTAGTCAGGGGCTTGTACAACAGTCTTTAGTAGACTATGTGTAGTTGATGATGATTTTAAGTTCCCTTACCTTGTTTACATTCAGTGCCATTTTCCAGCTCAGGAGGCAAGTAGTACGAGAGAACTAGTAGCCTGGAATGTGTTTTTAACAAATTTAAAGAAACATTAAGCTACTCAAAATATTTTGAGAAGAAGATAAATATAAGCTATCAAACAACAATTCATTAATCCTCCTTCTCATCTAGTAGCTATAGAACCACACTTTATTCTCTATGGCTATTTCCTGGAGATTGCATATCTCCCTGAGAGAACTAAAAGCTCTTGCGTTGAAGGCTCTTACACCCTTCACCAGTCCCATACTTCCAATATAATGTGTTGTCTGTCTCTTGCCTTTACTTAAAATCCAGCAAAAGAGGAACTTCATCCCACTGTGGAGAATTCTGCCACATGGCACCAATTAGCCAGGGGGAAGTCCACTGCTACTATGGCATTGGTTATTTCAATTCCAAAACTTCCTTTGGGTTGCTGAATAATCAAAAATAGCTGACATTTTAAATGAGGTAACTTTCTACCTCCATTAGTGGTACAGAATATTGCATATTAGGGATCGGCTCCCAATTTAATAAATTATTTACCTCCCTCCCTGGGATGCCATGAAGATTTAATGAAAAGTATTTAAGATGTAAAGCTCTACAGAAAGGGCTATAAGGCTCAAGCATAAGGTACAGGACAGAGGGAGGAGCTCCACTTCTGATCCAGATTTCTCTGAAACATGGTTTCCCTATGTCTAAAAGTTTCCTCTTCCCTCCCAAAAAAGTTACTGGAAGCTGGAAGGAATTAAAGATGTGTGGATTTGGCAGACAATCATTGATTATGGGTTTGGACATTATATGGTAGCAGACAAAACCAGAGATCAAACTTGATGACTAGGAACCATGAGTTGCTGGGTCCTTTCTATATGGCTGTAGGGTCAAACTCAAAAGCCATCGTAAGAAACAAAAGGAGTGTCTGTGGTACTGTGTGCTGCCAAAAGCAGCATCTGATTAAGGATCATTTAGTCAGTTTCCTACTCTCTCTTTGTGAGTAAACTCACTTCTAGGTAAATCACTTATTGCACTCTCACAAAAACAGATCTGGGTCCTTTCTTTATAGATGCATCACTGACTCTTACTAACTTATTCAACAGAATTCAATTTCTTTCCTCTGACATTGCTATCTTTAAAATTGGATAGCTATGCTAAAAACTAATTTGATGCAACAGAGAATTTCTGCTTGCAAGCAAATGCCAATTCTGCTTATTTTTGATGATCTTAGTAGAGATCATAAGGGAAAGAAGTTCTTTGCTTTGTTAGGAAAAATAATGAATTTTAAACAATGCAGTTCTACTCTGAAAAGTGACCACAGCTTTATGAAAGAATAAGTGGTATTCTATTCTGACTGGCACATCAATAAAATTAAATTACAATTGCTGAATCTTTATTGTTAGTGATGTGTAAGCCAGAAAGAACAGAGCTTGATTTTCATATTCTAGGTGAATTTTCAAGGCTGCTAGTTGGGGAGCGAGAGATTAACAAAATACTTTTCATTTGCAAACAGTGACTTTCACCTGGAAGCCACTGAACCACAAATATGCACCTCCACGCAACCATTTTGAGAGTCACTTAAGACTAGAATCTCATTGGAAAGTTTGTGAAAAGTAGCAGAATGACAACACTGGCAATCCCCAGGCTACACAACCACCCTAGATGTATATCCCTTTGTTCCCCTCAGGGGAGAGCTGAACATCTGCTGAGAATGCAGATTAAGGTGTAAATTAGAGCCTACCATGATGGCTGTGTTGGTGATTGTGGTCAGACTACCATAGAAGCCATTCATAAGTCCACCTTTGCCAGCCATTACCACAGATCTCCCATTCCAAGTACGGGAGAAAATTGTGTGGAAACTTGATTTTTTAACAGCAACCAGAGGACTAATTAAAACATTCTCGTTATAAATGGAAACAATATAGAATTTCCAATATCTAAATGAGCTAACAGAACATTTCCCATATCAATGGACTGTGCTATGTGGCATAAATGTGGGATCATCCTGTTTTCTCTGAAAGCCCAGTATAAGCTATTCAAGGTCCTCCCAGTCTTACCACAACATGTATACTATTGTAACATGCAGATTTTGTTGGCCTTTGAGAGGCTGACAAAAGGGTCTTCAACTGGCCTTTTTCAAACAAAGATGTAATCACACTCTGCCATCACAAGAAGCAGGAAGAAAAATATATAAAATATATTTAGCAAAACCAGTAAAATTAAAGTGGAACAAAAATGCAGTCAAGTAGCAAACATTTTGTACAGCAGCACATTTTACACAAGTTTTCCTACAGATACCTCTGCACTTATTTCATACTTTCTTTTTAAGAGGAGGAAGCAAATAGAAATAAACTAATGTTATGGAAAAAATAGATATTTTTCTGAAAATGGGATTTTTTTTTAAAAACTCCAATTCAGACTATAGGTCTAACAAAAGTAAGACAGACAGAAGTTTCCATAAATTCCAACTACACTGCCCTTCTTTTACAGATTACACTAGTAATTAAATACAATTACACTCATGGGATCTAGACATGATCTGGCCACCTTAAAGGATGTAGGTAACAAACATTTTAACCAAGATACAAAACAGGTATCTAATTTTTCTTGTTTTCCTGAGTCTGAGTGAGTTAATATTTAAATACATGTGCACTTATCAAAATCCATATGCAAGATACAGTACATTTTCAACAGCAGTTTTTAAGAAATCATGAAAGTGCATAAAAGCCTGAAGGCAGGCAAAAAGTACTTTAGAAGAACAGTCTTTCTTTCGAATGGCAGAAGAATGTAAGCCTTCCCAGTATAGTGTTGATCTTGTGAGAGGACATCAGTGATCTTCCAAAGACTTCAAATGGTGTTTTTAGCAATTACAACAATGGTTTGAAGTAACAAAATGCCACTAAAGAGCATTGGCATAAACCAAGAATTAAGGAACGTGGATACAGTACTAAAAATATTGAGTGTCCTGGCAACTTATTAGAACAACAGATCTGAAGGTAGCTTTCAAATCAATAAGCTTTTGCTGGGTTTATTGTGATGACTTCTTTCCATGCAGTAAATACCAAATTCAGCAACAGATATGTGGTGGGACATAGCATAGTCCCAACTGGTATCTATTACCAATAATACCAACGACTGAGATAAAGCTAATAAAGTTTGTAATGTCTACTCGTTTGCAACAATAACTAGTAACCCCGAAGGCCAGTTGCTGGGGGGGAAAAGACACATGATATGCAAAGCTACTATATTACCCTGCTAATTTGTAAAGGCAATTAAAAATAATTTGACTGCATTAACAGATTTTAAGTTGAAAACAGTTGTTTCATGAGGCTTAAATATGTGAATGGAAGTAAGCATTGTGATTAGTAACAAATCACAATTTATAGTTGCAGTATTATCTGAGAATAATTTGACTACTGTATTACCCAGAAATAGGTTTTACTACTATTAACTAGAAATATTTACTTAATGATAATTGTTTTGGCAGTATCAGCCTTCCTATGATGCTATTTTTGAATGCAGATCTCCAATGCAATTCCAAAACGTGTCTTTTGTGTTTTTAAAAAATGTGCTTAATTTAAATTCCAATGTTTCCTTATCCCACCAAGATGAAATTGGATAACAAATTCAGTGACTTATTTATTTTTAAAGATTAACTTAATATTTTTTCAAATCACGATTGCAGATTTTTGTTTGTTCTCACTAGCTAATTTCAGCTTTGTCTTGCTGATCTTTAAAACATAGCTGATAAAATCATTTCACTGGGAAGACTGTTTCAAACATTTTTGTTTACAACAAATGGCAACTGGGGGGCCGGAGGGAAGCTATTGAATTTAAGAAATCTACAATGCACAGTCAAGGCAAGTAGTACATAAAGGCAAAATGAAATTTTTTGTGCATACACTTACACAAATAAGTGTGAATAAAGGCTTTGTACCCAAATCATTCAAGTTTATTCCAGACCTCATTTGTTAACGTAAAGCAGATTAACTCAATATCTACACGAAAGGCTCTTTGATACGCTGCTGCTTTAAAATTGTCAGTTGCTCTCTGAGATTTGCTCTAAACTACTTAAAACGCTTCTCTCTTTTACCCAGGCTTTCACTGGACTAAAACAGGCCAATATATAGCTATTGTGGTCATAATTGTACTTCTGAAGCCAGTAAGTTTAAAGTGATACATAGTCAAGATATAGCAAGCTGTAGTGTAATTTTACTTTCAGGGTTTGTGAAGCGGTTATTTGGAACATTTAAATGAGCAGAGGAGAAAGGGGAAAGATTCAGAGTAGCTCTTGATTAACCCAAATACAATTAGCTTACAGCACATGAGAAACCAAAGCCGCTAACTGAACATTTCTGAAAGGCATCTGTAACATATATGTAGATGTAACTTTATGTGCCACAGCAGAAGGATAAAGTTTGGAAAACATTTCAGTGCCAAGAAGTGAAATAAACTGTTTAGATGTTCAGGATGAATACAGATTTCTAGATCACCAATTTCTGTTCATATGCAGTATGTAACTGAAAATTCATTACATGCTTTTGGGGGGCAACTGTATTTTACATTTGTCCCTTCCCCCTCTTGATGAAGATACTGAATACTTGTTTTACTGTGTACCATCTATCCTATTTGCATTTTTGGATATTTAGGACCAAATTCCTGCTCCAAGTTATGTTGACGTAAATCTAGAGCTATTCCATTAACTTCAGTTGATTTACCCCCAATTTGCACTGATGTAATCAAGAGCAAAATTTGATTTGTGATTTCATAATATTCTGTTTCTATTATATGACTGTACAACAAACACCTATTTGAGGGCTTGAATGCAAGTTAAATACTAGAAAAAATATCAAACAAGAATACACACAAATCACACATGGCCAAAACAAAATGTAACAAAAATCTTTAGTGGAAAATGTTACCCTCCCCCATTTACGGATGTTAAAAAATACATAAAGTGTTCATTTTAAAATTGGAAATTAGTTTGTGACAAGGCTTGATTACATAGCCATTTGTTTCCTAAGTTCTTATTGCTGCAATATGTGAAGTAGTATTATGCAACTTCATACCTTCAACAGTAAAGTTCAACTATGTCCAGGTAAAATTATACTTGAAATTAACTAGCACTTCAATCCCTGTATTTAAACTTGAAACAGTCTTCTTAAAAATTACAATATTTACACAGAGACTGACTGACATTTGTCACCATAAAACTGCAAGTTCACTGCATAGAGGTTCCTTATTTTGTACAAAGGGATCAACTAAATAAGATATTTTATATTTTCCTAGTTGTAAAATCCAGAATAATCCAATGGCAGATTGCAGTGTCATGAAAACTGGGCTCAGGAACGATTTTAGCCACCATCAGGCACAGTGGATGGGAATATAGTGGAGGTAACATCTATCATTTGAAGAGATGAGGGTCATCTACCAATATATTCTAAACTTTTCAAAAGAGTGTGGTGTGACAGAAGTTATAAAAAATGGAGAGAAAAAAAAGGGGTGGTGGTGGAAAAGTAGAATCTTGGTCCATTGAGCAGAATGGAAGGCTCATGCCTTGATTCCTAGGGCACAACCACAAAAAACTCTAGTGAGAAAGATTCTAACAATTAACTGATAACTTATGACTGTGTTTATCCTGGCCAGGGAAATCATGTTAACACTTCACTAATAAACCACATTGTGCTTGTTAGAAAACATTATCTTGTTTTTCCCAACCACAGCAGACAGGATCTAAACATGCTAGAAGCTGATTCATTAAATCACATGGTACACTGACCACTGTTTCTCTCACCAGCACAGACAGGGACCTTGTAAAATTGAGCCAGTAATTTTAGTTCCTAATCAAGCTAGTTGTTCATGGTCATACTGCCCCTCCTCCCCCCAAAAAGCAAATACTACTGTAATTGGCACCATTGCTGGCAATTTCAGTAGAGACACCAAAGACTGAGTTAGCACAGAAACTACCACCATCTCACTCTTTAGAACAGAACTGAGAGGCACACTGGTAGGGAAGCTTCCCTTAATTAAAAAAAAAAAAAAAAGACCCTATTTGACAGTAGCAATCCAAGCAACTAAATTTTACAGCAGGTGTTATTACTGTGAAATACTGCAGTACTACTGCTGCCTGTGCTGTATCTGTCTTATGGGTACAAAGCACTTCAATTTTCAGTGTGGTCAATCTTCCACCTTACATAAGCAGTAAAATGAAAATTTTTTAGCACTTAGATAGCATTTTAGATCTTCAAAACATTTTATAGATTTCAGCTAATCCTCACAACACCCCATGAGGTATGTAAGTATTCTTAGTTGTACAGATGCGGAAACAGAGAGAGAGAATTTAAATGACATGTCCAAGGCCACAGGGAAAGTTAGTGGCAAATCTGGTGTTAGAATTTAGGAGTTTGTCTTCCTCTCTTGTGCTCAGTCCATTTGACCATTCTCATAAAAAAAAAACCACACCTTTATTTTAAAAGGTGACTAAGTCATTTCAGTTTCAATTATATAAAATGTTTTATAATAGAAGTACTAAATTTATTTTAATTTTAATTAAGATGATTTCTTTATAATTAGATTTAAGAAATGCAATCGACATTTTGGACCAAGCTTGTTCTCTAAAACCATATGGTTTAAATAACATATAGGGTGATATCCAGCTAAACGTTTAAAACAAGGCATGTTTTAAAAATTGTGGCTTAGGTAAGTGCTACACACTATCGGGCAGAAGACCCAAATTCAAATCTCGGACATACTTGATTAGCAGGATTTAGATGCACAGAGGAAACAGTTTTTTCCAAATTCTGAGGAAAACAAAGTCCTTTATCACTCAAGGAGAAAACTTCTTGCCAATTAGGTACCACATTAAACAGACTTCCTATGCGATTTACAGGAGATAATTAAGATGTAATGAGGCCTGGAAGTGGAGGTTCAGTGAACACCATCCCTCCCTAATCCGCATGGACCTCTGTTCCCCCAGTCCTTGTATTTCATTACCCAACCAGATACCCTTTGTTTACAGGACTCTAGCCTCTAGTGGGTTGAAGCATAGGGAAGTAGTTAGGTTAGTGCTAAACTGTAGCTGTGTGGGGTTGGGAAACCCTGAAGCTAGAAATTATTGTTTAAACCAAAAAGAAGGGGAGGTGCAGGGAAGAGAAAAATTATTTGGATCTCTAACCTGAGAATTAAGACACTGTGATAAGCAATCTATTTTGGTAAAAAATCATCTTAAGTTTTGACAAAAATATAGTACAGTTATGATACATGGTTTATAATTAAATCAATTTGATTTCTCTATGCCTTTTTTTTTTAATTTGACAATTTTTAAAAAGCATTATTCACTTTGTACAGTGAGTGGAAACTCAATGCAGTGATGTTAATCACATCAGTGTCTCTAAACAGAAGGTTAGGACCTGATTCAAAGTCCCCTGAAGTCATTGGGAGTCTGTTGTATAGACTTCGGATCTTGCTCTTAGTGGCTGAGTTTCAAAGAATCTCATTGAAGGCTGTCTTTAAGAAGAGTGTGTGATCAAGTAGTTTAGGTACTGAAACGGCCAGCAGAAAGGCCAGAACTTAACAAAAACGTATTCCCAGAACTTTAGTGACATCTATGAGGTTGTTACACAAGCATGCAGAAATATCTTTGCATTTGCTCTATAAGAAACACTAGATGGGATGGGAAGATCAATGTTTAACATTCTGACATGAAAGGAAAAAAAAACAAAAATAGGAAAAATATGTTGTCAAGCTTATGAGATATATATGACAAAGTTAAAAAATTGCAAATTAAAAACACTGGACAGTGTCCCTTTAACATAAAACATGTTTAAAATGAAAGAGCAAACAAACATAACATTTTAAGTAATCTTTGACAATTTTTGAACATCAATGTAGCTACGAAAACAGCTACATTGTGTCAGTTGTCTCAAACACACAATGGGCCAGATTCATCTAAGAGGTAATTGGTAGGTGTACTATATTGTTTGAATGTTAACAAATTAGTAGGCTGATTTATTGCTGACTTAATTATTCTAGGGAATTCCCAAATTTCCATAGTTTATAAAAATTTAGAAGTTCATACTGAGGTAAATAAAGTAGTTCTGAAAATATTGGAGCCATTTGTTATGACAGTGGTTATTACTCTTAATCAATAAGAACCAGAAAAAATAAAAATATTTGTCATTATCCCTTAGAAGAATCTGCCCCAGAGGTTCAACTCTTGGTATTACCAGGAAGATTAGCAATTATTACTGTTGCTCATGTTTCTAGGACTTAATGCCCTTCAGCCAAAGGCCTATGTTTTGAAGACACTTACTTTTATAAAAAGTAAAAACTCAGACATGAACTTTAAAAGCAGCTCCAATAAATTTGTCATCCATTTGCTGGAACAATTGGAAGAAAGATGGAATAATGCAGAAGGATACAATGGTAATTCCCCATCACTAGTGCAAGAGTAGTTTTTTGCACACACAAGAAATCTCTTAAGGAAAGCGATAGGGTTTCTAGGAATGAATTTGAAGACAATTCCCTGTCTTGCAAATATTACTAAAAATATGTTCAAATAGACGATATACAATATTAACTGTGAAGGGATGTTGTCCAACAAATTTTATGGTTACCTTTTAAAGTGTATGTTTGCTCCAGCCCAGTTTTCATATTAACAGTGGATTAAAATAAAAGTGAAAAAATTCTGTTGAAAAGATGGCACTTTCTGCCCTTGTATTCCAGTCACATTGTTACATGCATGAATTTAACTCAAAAAGTACGTCTTGAATCAATATGACTAGCACAGTGCTACAGACTTATGCCATTTTGGGTAATATGATTGGTTTTGAGATGAACAGCTGAAGGATGGCACAGAGTTGCAAACATGATGCTATACACAGCACTGTAAAGGTGTATATACTGTACGTTTTATATAAATGTAAAAACCACATGGAAAACATTCAACAGCACAATTTAGCAGAGGTATCAAGCACAAGGCCCAAGGGCCAAATTCTTCCCCACCCACACCCCTCACAAAAAGCAATTTTATCTGGCATGCAGAATGTGCGTTTGCCTCAGTTTTGTCAGGTTTATGACTACTGGCAAAGTATGCCTTGCTTCCGTATTCTTGTGTTACTCTCCCTTGTTGTTCCACTATATCCGTCTATCAGTTGGCAGGATGAAAGGTATGTACATCTTAACTGCTCAAGTGCTGACACACAAAACTGAGTAAGAGCAGAGGAGAGCACCACAAATCTGGAGGTGGTGGTGGAAAAAAATCACCACAAATCCTAATGATCTTTCCAACCCTTGAATCAAATGTATATGGCCCTTGGGTAAAATAGAGTTTGAAACCCCTAGTCTAGCATAATTATTTTATCTAATGCCCCAACTTAAAAACAGTTTGTATAAATCAATAATTTACACCCTTTGAATTGTTATTGCTTAAGCAAACAGTTCAGTGTAGAAATACGTTGCAGCTGTGCGCGACTTGGATGTGGATTAAAACAGATAGTGAAAGTAAAACTACACATGAATGTTGCATTAGAGTCACACCCCAACATAACAGGTCAACAAAGGGCTGCAACAGGTACACAGCAGCTTAATGCCAACATCCTGAACCAACTCTGAAGACTCAAATGTTGCCTTAGATTTCTTGTCTAAAGTATATCACTTTTTTTTGTTTTGTTTTAAATTAAGGCAATGAAATGGCTACAGTTCCTAAAGTTCATTTTAGGGGAACAAAAATATACACCTTTTTCCTTCTGAACTTTAGGCAGCAGAATATAATGTAGAAACCTGTATTACATAAAACATGCAACATCAGGTGATGTAGAAAAACAAAACTAAACACAAGTTAAAAAATACCATTTGGTGTTTTTCCCTTCGATCATAAACTCAATCTTCAGAGAGAAAACATAAAGCTTCAATCAGCTACACTGTTTACAGTTTTGTATGTGTCTACATCATACTCTAATATTGTTTTCAAGAAAAAAAAATCTTTAAAAGTTTGTCCAGCCACTTATGTTTTAAGCTAATGGGGAAAAGGCACTATTTTTCACTGTGCCCATATCTGTTTGCACATATATGGAATTTTCTTTTAAATTTCAATTTGTTGTTCATTCTCTACAACATACAAGTAATGACAGATTGTGAGTAACACAATAGCAGAAGCTGATTCAAAGTTGACCTCTCCTATTCAACTGTGTTATATCAAACTTCCAGGCTCTCTAAAATCTGAGATGGCTGCAAAGAACCCAGAAACAGGTACAAGGTTTAGTCAGCTTTCAGCATTTCTCAGTGCATTTTGCAGAAAGGGTCTAAATTAGGCATAGAGTTTTGTTGTTGTTTATTTTACACAGAGGAGTCCACCAACATTTGCCATAAATTCTTCTAAACTCTTTAGGAAGGCCATCTTCTGCTTACGGTCCAGTGAAGGAGGAGTGCTGCTTGCAGTAAGCTTGTTGAATGCATCTGCTAACCGCTGGTAAATGACTGGATCTTGTTGACTTGATAGTAATGTTTCAACTAGTTCTGAATATTCAGCCTGTTGAAGAAACAGCAGTGATTACTACACCGGAAATAGAATACAAATATATCCACACACCTTTCTTTGTCAGGAGGAAAAATTCCCACAAACTTTGTGGTGGAAAGTTATAAGTTGTTTCCAGAGATTTAGATAAGAATACCGAGTTACGAACTAGGTAAGACCTTCAGCCAGATCAAGTGGCTGCCTTGATAAAGCTCTAAAAGCCTTCAGCTCCAGTCACTGCTGTCACAATTTCCAGGTAACTGCACCTGTATTTCCCTCTTTCCCCCCAGTGGTCCACTCCAGGAGTGCCCAGTCAGGTCTCCAGCCACCACCTGTCTCTGGGCAAGGACCATTATCCTACTCCCTTCTGATGGGGTTTTATGGCTGCACAATTCCCTACTTTACACTGTGATATCCCCACCAAGCCAGTCTACCTAAAGACTAACACCTATGCTTTGCTTTCTCTCTAAGGGCTATGAACAATGTATGGCCGGCAACTACAAGTTATCACACAGCTCTTTCTAAGCAAGCACATGTATTCTTAAAGTAACTGTGTTACAGAGAAAACATTAAAACAACAAAAGTTCCTAAATGCATGATAAAAGCTTACCAGAATCACCCAGCAGTCTTATGGGGCCCTAATAGGCCAAAGTCTCTCCAACCCTTCTGCAAGGGTTGGGGGCTCCCTTTGAACAGAAGGTTTTTGCCCATTTTAAACCCAGCCTTTTTTAATCAAAAACCCCTTTGTGTCTGTTGGTCTGTGGAAAACCCTAGTTTGAACCAGTATATGCAAGCCTCCCCAGGGGTTCCACCTCTCTGGAGGTGTTTACAACCTAAGTGATTCACCTTAATCAACCCCCACTGCTTTTGGTTCCTGGAGGAGTTGTGGTAATTCTGCCTCCTGGAGCTGAATACAAGCCCTGGCCCACAGTGATGCATAAACCATTCATAAACTTAATACAATAAGGTCTGCAAAGATATTGCAACATCTGTCACAACTTAAATTCCCTCTAAGCTGCGCGGTCACGCAGTAGCCTATTAAGTGCCGCACAGGCGCTCAGGGCTGCAGTAGGGAGTGATGCCTTTCCTCCAGCCCCGGACTTGCTGCGGCAGAGAGAGGCGCCTCTCCCCCCACCAGCCCAGGTGTTGCTGCAGGGAGAGAGAGATGGGGGGAGTCCTCTCTCCCTGATGTAGCCCCTGGGCAGCCTGCACCCCAAGCCCCTCATCCCTGGCCCCACCCCAGAGCCTGCACCCTCAGCTGGAGTCCTCACCCCCCTGCACTCCAACTCTCTGCCCCAGCCCTGAGACCCCTCCCCACACCCACTACATGAATTTTGTTAGGTGCACCAATATGGAGGTGATGTGTCACACATCACCTCCATATCAGTGCACATAACAAAATTCATTCTGCACATGCGTGGGAAAAATTCAAGAGAACACTGGTCACAATCACCATTAACAACATTGCAACTGAGATGAGTGCAGGACCATTGCTCTTCCTGCTTGTAATGAGTCCCCTCACACTAGACTGCTTCCTGATTCCCATTTCTGTCAGACTCATCCCCACAAACTGCTTCTCTCTCAAAGTCTTTCACTGCCTCCCCACCACTTTTCTTTCACCCAAACTCATCCTCCATCCAGTATCTTTGGCATCCTCCAACCCCACCCTGCACCCTTTTCCTTTCCCTCCTAGTCTCATGCTCATTCATCTCCTCTACATACATATTTCTCTACCCACACCTGTAAAAAGAAACCTTAATTTTTGAATAAAGTAACAAAAAATGGCAACATGAAATGTGCAGTAACCTATAAGGAAATGCGTGACCTTACATTTGGAGTCTTCGTGTTCTCCATTCCCTATTCCCTCTTTTTTTTTAAATCTTCATTTGTCACATCATGCCTAAGTAGATAACGAGCATCCTACACACTCTCTGCAAAGTGCATACCACACCTTTGTAAGCTGCATGAAAAATAACTGCCATTTTCACCAGCACAGATCAAACATGAAGGTGGGCGAAGATATAAATAACATTTCTCACCAATGGTAAAGTAACACCAATGAAACAGTTTGATAGAAAGCATTCCTGCTGTGCTACAAAAATATAAGCTAGCTTTGTCCAAACTCCCAACTATATGTATACAATTTTGTATGAGAGGTGCAAACTCCTTGGCTAAAACTCCATATAGTGTTTTGCAGAGAACAGACTTAAACATTTTATTAAAGCTAATGTTAAAAAATTATATAATATACAGGTTAAGAAAAGAGTGTCTGTATATCTGGGTATAGTGTTTAGATTATCCACAAATACAAAGTTTGTTTTAAAAGTCATAAGATACATATAATACATAATCAGCAATAACCCAAATTTAGATGAATAAATTTAACAATACAGTTTAGATATTAGCATCCAAATATTTGGGTACATTACTCATAAAAAGTTATACAGAGAGTTGGTTGTGAAAAGCAAATATATCAACAAGTGAAGATTGTCTCAGTAATTGAGAATTTAGGGTAGGTTGTCTGCTAAAAAATACAATCCATCAGGGAAGTATCTGAGTTACCTTCCTGTCTGTGCTTCTCATCAGCACTGCAGCTCATCTCTTCTGACTCTGCCTATGTCCGGTGATGTGTTCTAGGTAGATGTCTCTCAACCACCTGATGGCGTCTGACACCATAAGTCGCCACATCAGCCGAGCATAGCATTGACCAATTCCACATTCTCTCAACACTCACTCGTTACTGGGATCCCATGTGCCCAGGCCTCTGACGATCAGCGCATGAGTTTGAACCTTGTAGCCCCTAGCTCTCAAGGTGTCAGCCAGAGGTGTATTCTCTGAGAGCCGGGGCTACGAGATTCAAACTCACTCACTGATCGCCGGAGCCCTGGGCGTATGAGACCCCTACTACAACTCACATCATTCTTTTTCCTATACAGGCCATTTCCTCAGTTATCCAGTTAATCCATACTTCCCAAGTAAGAAACAGCTGAAAATCCTAGAAGAGTTATCACGAGAGACTAACACTTCAAATCTTCAAAAAAAGATTTGTAAATGCTGTTTTTGCCTTAAAATCAAATCACCAAACCAACCAACCAAAACAAAACAAACAAAAAACTAATGATGGTCTGGGCCCAAAAAGACACTTGTGGGAAAAAATGCCCTCCTTTCAGTGGAGAGGCATTAAACAAAAACTATGGAACACTGAAGACAGCCCAAATGACTGCTAGGAAGTGAAAATTACACTTCTGACTATCTCTAGGCTCATAGGGAAGGTTGAATTGGGGGATGGAACGGAATTTTATCTGGGAGAAGATTTTGGTCTTTTTAATTTTCTTTTGTTTGGTGCCCAGAAGGCTCATCAAATCCACCATCTTCTTTCAGCCCCATGGGGGACTGGATTGTGGGGAAAGAGGAGGATCAGAATTGCATGTTGTCGTTGCCACATTTTCTTCATTTTTTCTCCGAGGAGTATGGAAAGTCTGTGTGTAAAAAACGGTTACTCACCTTTGTAACTGTTGTTCTTCGAGATGTGTTGCTCATATCCATTCCAATAGGTGTGTGCGCGCCGCGTGCACGATCGTTGGAGAAAATTTTCTACCCTAGCAACACCCGGTGTGTCGGCTGTGGAGCCCCCTGGAGTGGCACCTTCATGGCGCTGGATATATACCCCAGCCGACCCAGCGCCCCCTCAGTTCCTTCTTGCCGGTTACTCCGACAGTGGGGAAGGGGGGCAGGTTTGGAATGGATATGAGCAACACATCTCGAAGAACAACAGTTACAAAGGTGAGTAATCGTTTTTTCTTCTTCGAGTGCTTGCTCATATCGATTCCAATTGGTGACGACCAAGCCTTACCTAGGCGGTGGGGTCGGAGTGAGACATCACTGTGTGCAAAACCGCTGAACCAAATGCAGCATCATCTCTGGATTGCTGTACAAGCGCATAGTGAGCGGCGAAGGTGTGGACTGATGACCAAACTGCAGCTCTACAAATGTCCTGGATCGGGACTTGAGCCAGGAAGGCAGTCGAGGAGGCTTGAGCCCTCGTGGAGTGGGCGGTGAGGCGTGGCGTTGGGACACCAGCCAGGTCGTAGCAAGCACGAATGCAGGACGTGATCCAAGAGGAGAGACATTGGGAGAAGACCGGTAGGCCTTTCATCCGGTCGGCTACTGCAACGAAGAGTTGCGTCATCTTTCTAAATGGTTTCGTACGCTCAATATAGAAAGCAAGGGCCCTGCGCACGTCCAAGGAGTGCATACGCTGGTCTTGGCGCGTGGCGTGCGGCTTAGGATGGAAGACCGGGAGAAATATATCCTGGTTCACATGAAAAGCTGATACTACCTTGGGAAGGAAGGCAGGGTGGGGGCGAAGCTGCACCTTGTCTTTATGGAAGACTGTGTACGGAGGCTCAGACGTGAGGGCCTTGAATTCCAAAACACGCCTTGCTGAAGTTATGGCTACAAGGAAGGCTGTCTTCCAAGATAGGTAAAGGAGCGAGCAGGTAGCCAATGGCTCGAACGGGGGTCCTGTGAGCTTGGAGAGAACCAGGTTAAGATCCCACGCCAGAACGGGTTGGCGTTGCTGTGGGTAGAGGCGGTCTAAGCCCTTGAGGAATCTGACAACCATCGGGTTAGAGAAGACCGAGGAAGCGTGTTCTCTTGGGTGGAACGCCGATATAGCGGCCAGGTGAACCCTGACTGAAGATATTGCCAAGCCCTGCTGTCTCAGGGACAGGAGATACTCAAGTATGAGAGGAATAGACGCCTGCAAGGGGGGCGTGGCCTGCTGCTGGCACCAACAGGAGAACCGCTTCCACTTGGCTAAGTAAGTGGTCCATGTAGAGGGCTTTCTACTTCCCATCAGAATCTGTTGCATAGGATGAGAGCATTGCAGCTCTGTCCGATTCAACCATGGAGCATCCACGCTGTAAGGTGGAGCGATTGCAGGTCGGGGTGACAGAGTCGGCCGTGGTCCTGGGAGATCAAGTCTGGGCACAAGGGAAGCGTGATCGGAGTTT